AGTTGTTCAGCTGGTTGGAGCATCATCGTGTACACCAAAAAGGTGGTGGGTTCGATTCCCAGTCAGGGCACATTCCTAGGTTGTGGATTCAATCCCCAGATGGGAGGCAACCAAACAATGTTTCTCTCCCATCACATCGATGTTTCTCTCTCTTCCTCTCCTTCATTCTTCTCACTGCAATTTAAAAAAAAAATCAAGCCTAGCCAGCATGGCTCATTCATGAGCATCGACCTATGACCCAGGAGGTCACGGTTCGATTCCTAGTCAAGGCACATGCCCGGGTTACAGACTCCATCCCCAGTAGGGGGCGTGCAGGAGGCAGCCAATCAGTGATACTCTCTCATCATTGATGTTTCTCTCTCTCTCTCCCTCTCTCTCTCTAATCAATAAAAATATATTTTAAAACATCTGAATAAACAAATGAATAATAATAATACCCAACGCATAATGCTTACAGTTTACCAAACACTGTTTGGTGCCTTGTACGTATTTATTATTTAGTCCTCACCATCCCATGAAACAGTAACTGATATTATCCCCGTGTTACATGTGAGAAAGCTGATGTGTGGGAAGTAAAGCAAGGTCACACCCGGCCAGGATCTACACCTACGTCTAGATTCAGTCTCGTGGGACTGTGCCGTTCCACTGCCCGTGATCCCGGGAGAGCGTCCTCTCCAAGGGACGCTGGGAGCACCGTGCCCCCAACTCTCAACGTTTCTGGGTTCCTGTCAGGTGTGGATGACGTGGGTCCTTGGGAGACCCACCCAAAAGGAGAAATAGCTGGACACAGGCACACAACTGCAGAACAAGTGAACCGCCGGCCTTAACGATGGCTGTGCTGTGAGCTGCTTCTCACGTACCTGTGGGGATCTGTGCGAGCGCCAGCTGTACTGGTGACGGTGGAGGCTCGCCAGCAGGACGTTCTCATCAGTGTCCACCTGGCCAAACCGCAGCGTCTCCTGGGTGTCGTTACAGATCACAAAATGGCTGAAGACCAGCTCCTCCACCTCAGGGCATTGGTTCTGAAGGAAAAGGAATAGGAAAGCCAACGTGCATCAGATTAATTGCAAGATGTTTGGCAGCTGTCTGCCCAGTGGCGATTGTTACAACGCAGGAACGCTCAAGGATCTGCTGTCATTAGTTCGTGTATACAAAGGATTCTATACTTCCAGGACAAGCACCAAAAATACCTTAAAGAGATCTTACACGGTCCAAAAATATGTTTTGACTTATACTCCTGCAAAATAAATCATAGACACAGAAGAGTAAAAGAACAATGAGATCCCTCAAACTCTTAACATTTTAAAATGAATTAACATCCTACAGAGAACGCTGGGCTGGGCAGTGCACGTGTTTGAGCAGAGGGCTGGCGGCTAGAATTACCGTGTTCCTGGCCTTCTCAACTCAGCAATCAAGACCAATTACAAAGCCACAGTTTGTACCCTACAGAAAGTAAGGATCTTTTAGGTAATACGTCCCCAGATCCCTTAAAGGGGAGGGAGGTGGGGAGAGACAGAGAGAGAGAGAGAGAGAGAGAGAGAGAGAGAGCGTGTGTGTGTGTAAATGTGCTCAGGGAGAGATGCAAATAAAACCACAAGTTTCCCTCTATTGTTAAGAGGCTGCACACACAAAACAGACCTGCTCCAGAGTCGGGTAAGCCAAGTGCAGTTTTCAAGAAAGTATGTTAGCTAAAAAACAGGTGTTGCTGTCTGTTGCAGCTGATAGTCTTCAATCAGTGAATGTCTCCCATGAACCTGTGAAGGCTCAGCAAATTAGTAATGGGCTCCTGTGTTTAGGCCTCCTTTTCAGCTTAGTGGTGTCTCCCCTGGTTGCTGTTAAATTAAAACACTGGCAAAGTGATAGAGAATTTCTGTTCTTACTCTGGTTAGGTTATGGCTTAATAAACAGTAAGTATGCTTTGGGTAAATGAAAAGCTAAATAAATGATGCTTGAGAATGCAAGAATAAAAGCATAAACCAGCCCATCAATTTGCAGATGATGGGAGGTAACATGCTTCTCCGTTGGCCTGTTTCCTGGCTGTGGATGTAAATGACGCCACAATGCCACACACAGTCATTTGCTGTTTTACTGAATCCTCACGAGCACAGGGAGTTGCTCGATGGTGAGGCCTGAAGCCAAGTGGATGGATGAACCCACCTGAATCCAGGCCGGACCAGGACCTGACCTAGAACTCACCCAGAGCAGTTCCTGGGAGGAGGAATCCTCGTCACCTGCCAGTCCCCAGATGGGGGAAGTGCTCTGTGGCTGCAGCTGGTGAAGAGGCACTGAGGTAGCTCCTTCCAGACATCCCTGAGGACTCCCAAACCCTTGCTCTATCACCCAGCCATTCCCACCAAACCTCTCTGCTCCCGGATCGCCACCTTGCTGGACAGCCACACTAACCACGGAAACAGCCTCTGTTCAGTATCAAAGGGATGATAACAGCAGTTATCTGCTGTCTCCCATAATGCTCTCGGCTGTGGCTTTTAACCCCAAGCTGCGACTTCATGGCCTGCCAGCAGGTTCCGGACGTCCTGGCCCTGCCACATCCGACCTCCTCTCCACTTGCTCACGACAGCCCCTCTCAGGTCCTCCCACACGATCCTGACCACGCTCAGCTCACCCAGCACATCACTCTCCTGCCTCAGTGCCTGTCTCCTGCCTTGACAAGCTCGTTCCACTCAGCCTTCAGGCTCCTGTCCTCTGTCCTCAGAGCAGCCTCTGAGCCCTCCCCACATCAGGGCCCTGTTTTATGCCCGCATCTTACTCCATCTTTGCAGAATTACCCCTCTGGGACTTAGGAATTGTTTGTGTGACCGTGGGTTCAATATTGTCTCCATCACTGGACTCCATGCTTCATAAGGGCAGGAATCAGTCTGTGCTAGTTATAACTTTATCTCTAGTTCTCAGCATAATGCCTGACACATAAAATGCTCAATAAAAACTTATGAAACAAATATAGAAGTTCAATTTTTAAAAGTATGAACTGTAATAAATGCTCAGAATAGAAAAGTTAGAAAATACAGAAAGTCTGGATTGTTTTAAAGTCTCCAATTGCGATTAACATTTCAATGAATTTTCTTCCAGCAGTTTTTCTCTTCTGAGTGTCCCGCCTGTTCCTGTTCGAGTCCATCCTATCCAATCCTCTCTTCTGCACCTTATATAAGGTTCGTAATCAAATGGGAGTCCCATGTATAATTAGTTCTAATGGCTTTTCCATTTAGCATTATGTAAGCAACACAAGCTGCTCTCCTTGTAAACAGCTTTCCTCTCCTTTAGGCCCAAGAGCACAAACATGAAGACAGGATATGAGCCAAACTCCCACCTAGATAGACATCCCAAGGTTGGAATTCAGTTTTCATAATGAACTGGGATCTCTGCGCTGGGGACACAGAGGTTAAGTTACCAGATGGGCCTTGAGTAGAAAAAAAAAATCACATTACTTTCCTCATCTCTGAAAACTGACCTTTCATAAATGATGAGAGTTTTAGGAAAAAATGTAAATGAAAGAACACAAGGGGGTTGTTTACATTTTTCTAAAGAATACTCACAGTCCTCAGGGAGCTGTTTCCCTACTGCTCCTTCGGCGTGGGGCTCGTTATAACTGCAACACGCTTAGGCATTTCTTGGACTGTTTTAAATTCTGGTATAAAAGGATCATACACATTTCATATGACTTCCAGAGGCTAACCCTCAGAATGTTCACTCAGATGTGTAATTAAAAGGTGGCTTATTTACATTTAAGGTTTGCGTTGGAGTGTTGTGTAGGCATTTGTAGTTAAACAGAGATATCGTTTTGGTGTAAGATAAGACACATGAGTATAAGCCTGATTTTTAAATAAAAATCCCCTTTAAATGCTATTTTGTTCAAATGTGGGAACATGACATAAAAATAAAAAGCAAACTTCAAATGTCATTTTGGGTCCTTAAGCTGGTTTCACAAGACATTATTTACCAAAACCCCCCCCCAAAAAACCCAACCACAACAACCAAAAACAAAAACCAACAAAAAACTACCACCAGAGAAATCAGACACTAATGAAGGCTTCTGTTAATCTTGAACTTGGGACCTAAAGGTGAAAGGCCAAATTGTTTCCTGCTTCATCTGTCTGGTCCCTCTACACTGGATACAAATGACTTGTCTCAGAGATGAATCTGATAAAAAGTATGTGGAGAACTCAACATATCCTGCTTATTAAATTCCTATTTCTCATGGGCAACAATTACACTGTATAGATCACTATACACACAATAAAATCCAAGTTGGGAAACTAAGTTTCCCCTCTAAAGGGGATAAACCACATTCTGAATATTTTAGAAACAATGAACTTAATAACCTTTTATAAGCCCATTTCAATGTCACATGTCCTATAATTTTGAAGTTGTGCATTTCTGTATTTACTTTAGAATACACAGGCTTAGATGCCTACCACATTAAAACTTGGTGGCAAGTACCCTTGACACGGGAGGAAACAAGAAAATTACAGCAACAATTACAGAAGTATATCCGCTTGTGGCTCATGTTAACATTGCCAAATCCCTGTGTAAATCAGAACCAACTATTCATAGAATGTACCTGTCAGCAATATGCTACGTGACATATGGCTCTACTTAATCAAATATACAATTCCATTAAAAAAAAACCCCTCAGAATATTCCTTCAAGGCACTGGGCTAGCCAGTCATTCACACTCTGATGTGGTTTAAAACATTTAAATATTTATGCACTGTGTTATTTATATGTATGCCTGTGTCTAAGAGAACATTTTCACTCTGAGAGGGAACTGGGATTTCTGGAGGCCATTTTGCAGTAGTTGCTACACACGAGTCCCCTTATAATGGCCCTGATACCAAGACAAAAATATCCTACGTTTAAGTCCTCTATCAATGACTCTTTTATGTTTTCTAGGTTTGTTTTTTATTAAATGCATTGTTCAAAATATGACAAAAAACAGAAATTGGAGCCATGAAAGTTTTTTTCACATCGCTATTCGAACCAGCTGCAAAGATTTAGATCACACTAGCTCTTATTTTACGCATGTCCTTTGCAACAAGAAAACCATGGAATGCCCTTAAAAAGGAATTTTAAAATATAAAACAGATGTGTTATCTTCTTTTCCTTTGCTATTGTAGTGCCATGTTAGGTAATTAATTCCTTAGTCTTGTATAGGTCTTTGTGCACATAAAGGAAAGTTTATTCCCATAAGATTCTAATGCCCGAGAACTCAAGCCCCTCCCCCTGCACTGTGCCTGTTCCCATGTGAGGTCAGTGCGGGATGGAGGACCATTTCTCTTGGGGACCCGGCTCCACACAAATGCACGTAACATACACAAAGGGTGGGAAGTGCCTCAGCTTACGCAGCAACACGAACTTTATGGAAATACAATATTATACTGACTATCAGAAAGAGAAGAGGAAGTGATTTGTTCTTAAATCACTGAGTATATTATCGTCCAAACATTCCAATTAAAATCCATTATGAGTGATTTTTAATGACTCAAAATGGCAGACTGTCATAGGAGAAAGACTAAGCCCACCCGTGCTCACATGTTTCCTCTGTGGAAAGATGGAAGGCTTATTATCAGAGAGGCGCGCCCACAGGTCCTTCAGTCTGCAGTGGGTGCTCAGACAACGTGATACATAGCTGAGCTGAAGCTTTGGCAAACTAGAGCCATAAAACTTGAAAACTATTTCTGGGAATATGTTACTTTCCACACAGATGTGGTACATTAGTCACAAAAATGTGGGCATGTTCTCCTATGCATCTGTAGAGAACCCATATCCTCCAAAGCTTTTATGCATCACTTAGCCCAAACAGAGAAGGTCCCAAATATGATGGTGCCCATCAAACTCTTCGTTCTCTCACACTGGAGTTTATGCTTATCCCTAGAAGTGGTAACAGAGTGCCTCATCAGAGCTCACACGTGGACGAACTGTACATGGTCTCGGGTGCACGTACCTGTTGCCACGCCTGCACCGCAGTGTTTAGGGAGTGAACCGCGTGCTGCCCGAAGTTTACAAACACAGAATCGACGATGACGGTGCAGTCGAGCCGCTTTTCCACTGCATCGCTGGAAACGGCCATCTGTCCGGAGACGCTGAAGGGTCTCACCAGGCTCTGCATCGTCACGTTCCTGCACTCCAGAAGCTTGCAGTCTGCGTGGGCTGAGAACTGGATCTCCTGACAGACGGGACTGTTGCTCCACTGCCGGAGATACAGGTGTGGCTCTCGGAAGGAAATGATCATGTACTCCAGCTCAGGTGGCACATTTTTATCCGAAACAAACGGCTGTAGGTGGGGCGGCGGAGCTGTTGGAAAACAAGCAAGGAAAAGAGCAATGGAGACGAGCCCATGCTTTACGGAAATAAAGAGATGATATTTAAATTATTCGGTTTTTGGTTATTGAATTCAACACTGGATGTTTAATAAATTTAAACGTTCTCCTGAAGATAATGCAATATCTGAACTGCCATTTGATATTTGCAAGCAAAACTGGTTTGTTCAACCAACAAGGCCTCTTAAATGCATATTGTCTCCAAAGGTTACAGTCAGTTTCACAGGCAAACTTTGATCACAGAGACAAGAAAGAAAATGAAGAGGAGGTAAATATTTGAGGAGAGTTTCTTGGAAGTGTCTATATCTACCCACCAAATCTCAAAAGCAAAGTCATGACTCAGAGAGTTAGACACATCAGGTTGAACTCCATTTTTGCTGAAAAGGCAAGATGTTTAACAGCAGCTGTGTTTAGTTTTAATCTGATTTTCCCCCTTTTTTCCATTACATGTAGGTTGAAAACCTAATTCCTGAATAAAATGTATTGGCTAGAAAAGGTTTGGTAAAGGCTTTGAGGAATAATACATGTAATATTAGCAAATCTACAAAAGGCCACTTTGAGGCTGTGGGGAAATTTAATCTTTGACTGTACAAGCTTCTAAAAGTGCTACTCCTTCAAATTATCGGAGAAATTGCCAATCTTTTGTAGAATGTAGTCATGCTTTTAAAATAAGGTGATATCAAGCAGTTTTGGAATCTATCTGCCATTAATGTAATGGGTCAGGATATAGAACAAAAACATGTATTTCTTTCAAAAAGATCTAACTGGAATAATAGCAAAACCTGCAATTTTAGTAACTTGCTTGAAAATTCCTATTGAAAACATGCAAAATCATGTCAGTTCAATACAATTAGTAACCTATATAATAGGTCCATAAGACAGCTCAAAAGTAAGAGGCACACCTGTTATAAGTAAGAGGCACACCTGTAAGAGGCAGTAAGAGCTCACTGTTCGGGGAAATGAGGGCGCTTCTAATGCCTTTCACCAGCGTGTGGGTGGTGGTAGGCAGAGAGGACCTCTGGGTGGGGAAGTGATTAGCAATCACAGCACTTTGTAACATCACTAACACTCTAGTGCACAGAATGGAAACGCCTCCGAAACTTTTTATTTCCTCAAAAGAAATTATCTGGGTAAAAACAGATGAATTGTGTCTTGAGAACCCACAAGACAAAACAATGAGCATTAAGTGGATGTTATTCTGAGGCTAAAATGAACAGTACCTGTGCCTAGTTGGTCCAAGTGATGACAGAGATGGAACTCCAGGTGAGCAAACTGGAGGGAAATGCAAAGAGATGGGACAAACCACGGGGTGAAGCAGGAGTCCACCCGGGTGCAAGCAGCCAGGGCCGTTGGTGTTACAAGCTGGTCACAAGTGCTTTGAGAACCAGATTCACTTGCAGAGCTATGGGAAAGAAGAGAAAAAAGAAGTTCAATAACCTAAATCTCCCAATATCATGTAAGTGAAATGTCTTTCGATAGGGTTCTTAAAGCTAGTACACATAATCCCATAGTCAATGTTATCAAATCTTTTGTATTTACTCACATAAATTAGTTGTTTTTAAACATTTAGGTCATGTGATTGATCCCTATGAGCTACTAGCAGAAAAATTTCAAAGCCATTCCTCAAACCCCAGGCCATGCTGACATCTCTGAAACCCATTTTTTTCCCCATCTACATCTCATGTAACGGATGGACAATTTGCTCTCACATTAGTTTAAGATCAACACAACCCAGAGCATGACTGCTGTTCAAAACACCCAATACCTTCAGTGTCACCATAAATGTTTCACTTCTGCAGATTGTCCACATCCATGTCCCCATGTGAACTAGTCAGTACTCTTTACTGAACTTCATACCCACTGAATGCTGTACGAAGTGCCACACAGTCCTGACCATGATCAGAAGGACCCAGGTCCCATGGACCATTACCCTGCATGGCTGTCTCTTCACTTGCTCATCCTCTTCACACCATTTCACACAAGTAAAGCTGACCAGCCGGAATAGTGAGGGCACTGGCACGAGGGAAGACATTTGTAGGGGTGGCTGCTGGTGTGCAGGGGGACACGCTGCCTCCGCCCCCGTGCCAGCAGAAGCCCAAGAGCTGGGGATTGTGAGGGGCAAGGTGCAGCCTGGCCACTGTGCACGCTGAGTGATGCTGCCCACGTCCCTCTCACTGTCTTCCACGCCCTTCTTCCCAAATCCAAAATTCCTCTGCAGTTATGGTAGCTTGGCTCCCCAATCCATGAGGAGCCTCGCGAAGTAACACTGTGATTTACAGTATCTTAGGGAGAACTTCGACAGGAAAAACTAAAGAAATAAATCCTTGGTTTTCCAAGAACTCACAGTCTGACTGGTGATATAAAATATGTGGACATTTAGAAACATTATACAACAGCCACCACCCACGGACAGAAAAGTCAGAAGAGCTGCCAGAGTGGAAACAAGGAACGCGGGATGGTGTGGGGTGAACCATGTGGATGCTCGGAGTGCAGATCTTCAGCTGAGTACTGAGAGAGGCAGCGGAAAAGCTGGTGAGGAGAGCTGGGGAGAAGGAGAAGCTGGGGAGAGGAGAAGCTGGGGAGAAGGGGGCGCTCTCTCTAAGGGGAAGCTGGGGAGAAGAAGCTGGGGAAAAGGAAAAGCTGGGAAAAAGGAAAAGCTGGGGAGAAGGAGAGCTGGGGAGGAGAGCTGGTGAGGAGAGCTGGGAGCGCGGCCGCCAGACGCAGGGTGCAGTGCGGGTGAGGGATCTGCTCAGTCAGGGCACCCGAGCTTTGTAAGGCGACCTCTGCCAAGGCTGGAAGAGCACAAGCCCTTGTTCTTCACTTACAGAAACCTGCACCCACTCCCACTGGAGTCACTGAGAGATGAGGGACACAGAGCGTCCACACGGGTGGAACTGTGCCTTCACTCACATAACATAGTTGTGGGTCCGGAAGCCATTGGGTCCCTTGTGTTTGTATCTTGGTGAATGCTCAGAAATTGGCCATCAGAGAGCTTTCCGTCATCTTCCATTAGCTAATAACCTACTGCACTTCCTACCTTCAGAGGCTGGCGAGTTGAGGGAGCTGCAGACACCAGACATTTCTGCCAACTGTTTGCTAACTTCCTGTGAGAGGCTTCACCCGGGCCTTTCCTGCAGAAACTTCCTCGGTGAGTGCATGCCACCTCTGCCCGCCGCCCAGCCCTGGCGAGCTCTCTGGCTGGAGACCATCTTGCGTTTCTGTCTCTTGATTTACGTCGATCTCGAGAACGACAATGCGTGGATAACAACCTTCACCTGAAAGGCTTGCCATCCTATCTGCACAATCAAGTCATCGGGTGCAGCTGCTTTCCTTTTCATCAGGGCCGCTGACCGCTTCCTCCCCGCCAAGGCGAAGGCCAAGAGGCAGGGAATGACTGCATCCTGTGTCTGCAGGAGCTGGCCATCATGTGCCCCCCCTGCCCTCCAATTTCCTAAAGCGGAACTTTCTCCTGTATCCTTGCCCAGAGTCTCCTGGGAGCATAAAGTTTAGCACTTAATAGAACCCTCCCCTTTTCTGGCTGGCCAACAGGGTACCGTGCTGGTTGTTCAGTTCAATATGAATCGTTGGTGTTTACCGTTAGTTCCCAAGAGGGACCTCACACTCACACTGACGTTCACCTCCATGCAGCGTTGTCTCTCACACGCTGGCTCACCTAAACCAGCAGTCGCCAACCGGTGGTCCGAAGACCACTGGTGGTCTGTGAGGTCCGAAAGGTTGGCGACCGCTGACCTAAATGCTCTCCTCCTCCTGCAGGGACACTGCAGTCTCAGACACTGCCTCTCAGACACTGCTTTGCCCAGGATGGGAGAGTGCTATCATTTTAAAAATGTTTCAACTCTAACTCAAAATAAGAAATATGCTTTTATTGTAGCCTGGTACACATTAAAACGAAGGAGGGGGTAGGAGGTTTACTGAAAATATGACACTGATATTTTAAAAATTGTGGTAAAATATACATAACATAAAATTACTATTTTAGCCATTTAACACTATACAGCTCTGTGGCATTAAGTGCATTCACACTATTGTGCGACTGTCACCACCATCCATCTCCAGAATTCCCAAAATGAAACTCTATACCCATTAAACAATAATTCCCCATCCCCTCTCCCTCATTCCTTGGCAACCACTATCCTATTTTGTCTATAAAATTGACTATTCTTGGTATCTCATATAAGTGTAGTTATATAACATTTGTCCTTTTTACACAGATACTTTCTCTTTTATTAAAAAAAATTCCAACTGCAATTGATTTCATCACCCACTAATGGGCTGCAACCTGTGGCTTACAAGCAGGCTTAGATGGGCCCTCAGGGAAAGGACTGCCTATAAAGAGACGACAGAGAGATGGAGGTAGGGACAGGCAGAGAGATCGCCCGGGTTCAGAGAGTAAGCACCATGCCACACAGACTGAGTTGGCAGCATCAGCCCAGAACCGAGGGTGTGACCTGAGGAGCAGGGGGAACCTTGGGGAATGTGTATGGAGAAGGACTCCCTTGCAAAAGGCCAACTCCCTGGAGGGGTTGTTACATATAGTTAAAAGGAAATGGAAAAAGGCTTCACAAAGACACTTGGGTAAAATGCAAGCATTCCTTCTACCCAAGGGAGAAAAGGCAAAGATAAATTTAGCCCTGGGAAGGAATTTTCTGGATAAATCCTGGATTATATCACGGGATGACTAGAAACATAGGTGACAAATTAGTTCCAAATGTCAAGATTTACGTCTGAATCATTTATGAAAGACAAAAGGTTTTTAAAAATGGTACCCAAGGAATTTAGGTTCATCGGAGAGTGCAGACCCTGGGAGCCCCGTGGAGGGGACCCATATCTGGAGGCCCCGGTCACCTTCTGGTAGAATGTTCAACCCGTGGAGAAAAGAAACAATCCAGGGACTTGCCCTTCACGGCGCTCTCTCTCTGCTTCCTCCCCACCTATTGGGCAAGAATCAGGGCTCTGGGAAAGGAAAAGCATCGACTCCTCCTCCTCCTCCTCGCTGAAAAGCTGCGGGCCACTGTCTCGGGATTCCCGACTACGAGCGGACAGTGACTTCTTCCCTGGGCTCTTTAGGGCCTGAAGAGAATGGTTTTTGGGGGCACATCCACAGATGAAAGTGCTCCAAAACACTCACCAGAGTTTCACTTTTCAGTGCTGAAGAAATAGCCACACACCTTAAGCCATTTCTCTTTCCAGAATGTCTTCTAGGAACCAGCATTTTGGGGGTGGGGATAACAAGTCCTTGTGGGAAAATGACCATGCAAGGACAACGAACGACCACAGCTGGGGCACAGGTGGTCAGAGTTCAGATGATCACAGAACTTGTAAATGTTGGCTGGACATACATATCAGGTCTGCACGGATATTACTGTGCTCCATAAATGCCTGGGATGTGTGTGACTTCGCTTATATCACATACTCTGGGCATTAGCCATGTCGGTGAGGATAAGAGGGGAAACAAAGTTGGAAGTTTTTCTGGTCCATCAGAAGACATCTCGTTAATACCAAACCCAGGGAACCTACCAGGGAGGCTCAAAGCCTGAGAGTGGGTACCACTCCATTCCCTTGTTTCCCTCCTGGGACGAGTCATGGGTAAGAAGCTGTAAATTCCAAACAGAATGTGTGCTTGCTGCCTGTGTTCTGTTTGCCCTCTAGATCCATTTTCTACTCTTCCCCATCCTTTTCTTTGCCCCTGGACTATATCAACAAGATGCTTTGCCCAGCTGATGTAGCTCAGTGGCTGAGTGTTGACCTATAAACCAGGAGGTCATGGTTAGATTCCCGGTCAGGGCGCATGCCTGGGTTGTGGGCTCGATCCCCAGTTGGGGAACTGTAGGAGGCAGCTGATCGATGATTCTCTCTCATCGTTGATGTTTCTATCTCTCCCTCTCCCTTCCTCTCTGACATCAACAAAAATATATTAAAACAAACCCCAAAACAAGCTGCATTGTCCTTTGATTGGGCCAGTGGGAGGTGCCCACAGGAGAGGAGGGTGAGGGTCGTATTCCTGACTCCTTGGCAGTATCTCCATACGTTGCTGTGCCTCTCTTACACAAAGTACCTACCACACCTGCTCGGCGTTAGTTTTGGTAATAATGCTCCGTCACCTGGATCCTTTAGGCCTAAGAGTGGATGGTTCCCCAGGGTTCCCAGCTCCATCCCTTAAACCTACCCACGTGGACCTTTGTAAATAGTCTTTTCATTCAACTCTCCTCAATCCTCCAGTCAGAGTGTGCCTTCTGCTTCTTGTTGGGGCCTGATAGAGGGGGTTATTTAGGCTTCAGCAATGGGTGTGGGCAAACACACAGACGATGAGATTAAAAACAAGTGGCTGAAATGGATATCTGATAGGGCTTAAAGGTCATATCTCTTGCTTCCGGTCCAGTTCACAAGCAAAGAGAAGTCTCCTAAAGGCCAAGACTATTGTGGAACCTAAGCTTGAATTTAACTCTACTTCAAATGCTAACTTAAAAAACCCCCACCATAATCATTACTCATCACTCATTTTCATATGATCAAGCAAACCATTAGCTACAATAGTGGAATGTAATATTACATATACGGTGATTGAATGAAAGATCATACACCTGCATGGGATAAACAGACCAGGTATAAGAGTGTGAATCTTTTGTCTCCAGTTCTTTGCTGAAGACTAGCTTCTCTTGGGACGAGTTAGCGCCTATTCATCCATTAAGGCCTCAGCTTAGAAAACAGGTTCTTGAGGCCAAAGAGCTAGCTGGGAAGAGAGATCTGCCTTGGAGCCCGGCCGCTAATGTGAAATTCTCCACTAAGCAGTGCTTCCACTGCACAGGTCCAGTGATGCTGTACCACTGAGCTGCCTACACTATTGCAACTTTATGATAACTATGGACATGGGAGTTATTCTTTACAAACTTTTTCTTTCTTCAGTAATGTACAGTCTGATGAATATCCTTCTCAAACCAAAGAAAATGTTACTTATAAGACCATCTCTTATTATAAAAGTGTCAAGTTTTTGTCCAGTTCTAGATTTCTAGTGACAGAATATACTGGAGCTAACTGGAGCAGTTCTTTCATAATCAAATGCTGACGTTCATCACAGCACTGATGTTTTCTTTCTAGAAATTGGGTGAAATTTATTTATTGTCCATTCTGAAAATGTCTTAATAGTGTTTTATTATGTGGGCTTTTAAACCAACTTTTTAAATTTCAATTTCGTTAATATCAGTTTCTACCTGAAAAATAGTTAATCTCAAACAATTTAAAGCAAGATCAATTGTGAAATATTAGGTAAGTTGAAAAATCCCAGGTGAGGGCAAAAGATCTGTGCTTACAGTGTCAGAAGCTTGGTGAAAAATTGCCTGAATTTGATTGTCTGCATAAATTTCCAATCCCCAAAGGCTCTACATTTCTGTAGTGCTAAGCTTACCACAAAAGTAATTTTTATGGATGTTTCAGATTCAGAGGAATTAACCTTGTCTAAAATGCTCCTTTCAATAATGAAAATGCATTCTTTCATAATTAGAATCAAGAAATGATTTCTAACCTGACAGTAAATTTTATTACACATAGTTCTATTTTCTGAGGTTTCCTCATTTCTGACTAGGTAACCTATACTTAGATTAGGCAATCTTTCCATCCATCTGCTAATTCTCACAGGATGGGTGTTCTTTTCATTGCTGCATTACATACAGGTAAAATCAAGACCCCACTCCTCTGAAACATTTTCACTAATCGTATATTACTGGGTACCCTCTGAGAAAGGTAATTATTTTTGAAGAGCCCAAATGACCTAGAAATAGAATATATAAAGTATGAAGCATATTATTATTAAGCATACAAAGTCATCAATTAAGAAGACTGGGAGGCAACAGACTAAAATGTTAACAGGTTATTTCACTGTGATATAATTATGCATGGAATAGTGTCATACTTTCCAATGAACTCTTCAATGAACATACATTGTTATTAATAAAAAAGAGAGAAAGCATTCAAGCTCTATAAAATATAAAGTGACAATCAGAATATCCAATGGTGTACTATGATTATGAGCTTGTAAAGGTGTACAATAGTGGGCAAAAATAAAGGTAATAGAAAAAACAGTTGATTTTCAGGGAGTTTGAATGGTGGATTCCTTTTCTCTCTGTTAGTGTCAGATACTGTTTGGGGGGCGGGCAAGGAGGGATTATATAAAAGGAGTAAGATTCTTCCATCAGGAGAACTGGAAGGCAGGACACTGGAAACAATGGGCAGCAGGAGGGGGTCACAGGCCACTGTCCATAGAACATCACATGGGCAAAGGCACGCTCCACTGCGTGTGATGCGGTTACTTCTTTTATGGGAGCGTGAAGAGGAAATGCTGAGGCTCCCCTGGAAATGGGGACAATCTGGGCCCTTTTTGCCAGGAACTAGGTGTCCTATAGGAGGTGTGGGACAGGAAGCTCTCGGGACAGGGGTCAGGATACCTCTATAGCTCTAGAGACTGATGTGACCAAACCGAAACTAGAGCTAAATAAAAGTTTGGCTATTAGAAATCCTTTGGGTATATTATTTTGGTTAGCCAAGTTATTCTACTGTCTGGAGGTTTGTCTTTTATAGTTATTCTAAAAACCACTTAAGAAGGAACTATTTCCAAAAGTTATCTTTTTAGAAGGAAACAATTCAATCTATTTATCCATTCCCCTCACCCTCCAATTTCCTAAGGTTATCATTATACAAATTGTGAGGTATATATGGCTCTTTTTCTCTATTTTTTGGTTCAGGATGACTGGATTCTTTTGGTAGTTTGTTTTTTGCACTTTTTATATTTAAGGAAGAGGTTCTTAGTCAAGGCTTAGTATGAGCAAAACAGGAGTTTTAGCACACATATTTGAAACACCAGCTCTCTCTGCTTCCTGGTTCATCTGTAACTGAGGCAGATAGAGCTGCTAGCTGCTAAGTGAGGGGTCACCAGATAAGATGACAATGATGGCCTCCCCAGCACAATGCCTCTATTCCATTTCCATTGAGTTACCTTTGGTCATCAGCTCCGTTCTGACTGCTGTTCAAGACAATTCTCCAAAGATCCGAGGATACCAGTGTCTTCTGGTCATTCACAAGATTGACATCTGGCAACTGCAGTTCACACACTTTGCTTTCAGACAGACTAAATTCTCGAAATGCAACAAAAACCTTCTGGAGTTCATCCCAGTATTCCAAACTGCAAGGAATCTATATTAAAATAAAAAAGGTTTCAGAGGGTGCAAATGGGAACTATGCTGCTATGTTTGTTAAAGTGCAAATTAAACCTTCAAAGAAGCTTCAGCATTATAAGACTTTTAAAAAGGGTTAAATAGTTCATAATTTCTTTATAATGAATACTTATATTTATGTTGTTTACCTATTTTATTTTAAGAGACCCATTCAAGAATATATGAGCTCTTCCAGTGGTGATGCCCTCCCCAGGACAACATGCCCCTCGCCAAGGACGTCCTCCATCCCTCTCCAGAAGAGGAGAAGAGAAAGCAAGAAGCACCAGGTGCAGAGCCCCAGTTCCTACTTCCTGGATGTGAAACGCCCAGGATGCTGTAACATCACCACCGCCTCTGGCCCTGCACAAACGGTCATTTTGCGTGTTGGCTGCTCCGCACCCTCTGTCAGCTGACAGGAGGAAAAGAAAAGCAAGGCTTGCAGAGGATGCTCCTTCAGAAGGAAGCGGCACTAAAAGCACCTGAAGCAAGATGAGTGGGGAGTCATCCCAATAAAACCGACTTTGGATGCAAAAAAGAAACAAATGTGATAAGAGCCAAGAAAGTTTTTAAGTGAAAGTGAAACAATGGGGGACAAATTACCAGGTGTTAAGTGTATTATAAAGCGAGAGTAATCAAAAGATAACATTGTAGTAATAACATCCAAATAGATCACTGGTTCTCAACCTGTGGGTCGCGACCCCTTTGGCAGTCGAATGACCCTTTCACAGGGGTCGCCTAAGACCATCCTGCATATCAGATATTTACATTACAATTCATAACAGTAGCAACATTACAGTTATGAAGTAGCAACGAAAATAATTTTATGGTTGGGTCACAACATGAGGAACTGTATTTAAAGGGCCAGAAGGTTGAGAACCACTGAAATAGATTAAAAGAATAGAATAAAAATAGTATAAGATATAAGCACCAATACATTTTAGTATGTAATAAAGATGTCATCTCAAACAAGTAGGGGAAAGAGGTTGCAAGAACTGGCTAGCCATTTGGTAAAACCAAAGTGGGTCCCTACATCATTCCTGCATTAAGGTAAATTTCAAAAGGACCAAACGTTAAAGGCTAAAAACTAAAAGGTTAAAATTTTAAAAATCAGTTGATATTTTTATCATAATAGGGCATCCTTTTTCCATGCATGGCTTGGAACTCACGGTTGTAAAAACCCCACAATCGATGAAATAAAATTGAAAAACAAAACAAAAACAAAGTAGAAGTATAGTCAATGATAGACCTGGGAATAATTGTTGTAATAGCAGAGAGCTCTTATAAATCAGTAAGATGGTAAGTGAGCACATAGAAAAATAATAATGGCAGTTGTTGGAAGAGGCAATTCGCCATGGGACTTAAACGTCTCTGCATATTCTTACTGCTGGGGTCCAACCCCAGCAGGTCCGGGGGTCCCCAAAGGTGTGGACGGAGTCGGCGAAGAAGGAATGACATGGAAGCAGCATTCAGTTCATCAGCATAGTTGGGTTCTCTTGTCAGGGTCTCCAACCAGGTTCTCCAGGTTCTCCAGCCAGGCTCTGTAGCCATGTTCTCTCACTAGGTTCTCCAGCCAGGTTCGGGTTAGGTTCTAGCAAGGTTC